AAAAGTGTTAGTTTTGCCTGCTTTGACAACGTGCATGGTTGATTCAAGGAGCAGCACTGAAGGCAAACAGCGATACAGTGGAACACAGCCTAGAAGTGAATGCATACACCAGCTTAACCACACAAACATGCACATAGGTTTGGCTAGCTGCTCATAGAAGTAATCCAGGCTCTCATTAAGATACCGCACTGCTAAGTCAGTGGTGCACAAATGGAGAATGGCTATCACAAGGACAATCCTTACCTGAATGATCCAGGGGTGGCGTAGACCCTCATCTGGCAGCATACGCTGGCTTGCTTCCCAACTGTGCATAAGAAACACAAGGCAGGCAGATACATGTGCAATCAATAAAGGTATGGTGGGTATGGCTAACGAGATCTCCATCATGTCAGTATTAGAGCGAGCGGCACATTGCAGGCAGACGGAACAAGTGAAATCACAAACACTCGAAACTAGTTTGCCTCAGGCAGGTACTGGTAAGCACCAGAAACCTAGAAATAAAACAGAATGCTTTGTGCTTTGTGACCCTTACTGAAGGCATTGCTGGATGAAGTTGATGAAGAGCGGATCGGATGTGTCACAGGCATTGGCCATGGAGCGGGTGCCCGGTGGGCGACGTTTTCCCTTGCTGTTGATCAGGTTGCGGGGTGTGCCTTGAGAATCTGTACACACACGTGACAGGTGGAAACAGCACTAGTTCAAAATGCAAGGCATCTACAGTCACGGTTGCTCAATGAAATCCAGTCACGTCGCTCAAGTATGCACCGGCCGTTGCACAGCCATAGACCGGCGAACACTGGGCTGCCAAATGATGCAAGGCGTAAACTTGAGTGACTCGACTGGATTTCATTCAGCAGTATTGTACAAAGTTGGCTCGACTGGATTTCATTCAGCAGTACATGTATTGTACTTAGTTGGGTGCACATAGCCGCACTTTCGCTGGCTACGCACCCAGCTGACCAGTGATTCGGCAAGATAGAGACTTTCACTAGGTATTTATGTCGCAAATAACTAAAATAATGGATCAGAAAACAAGCCCCTCCGTGTGCACTGCTGCAACAAAATGACACCAATCTTAGAACGCAGCTAGGGTAGGAAAGACAAACAGCTAGGGTAGGAAAGACAAACGGCTCTTCCACCATGGATAGATGGTGGAAGAGCCGAAATTTTAGTTTTGAAAAGGATCAATGAAGCCCAGCCTGTGGAAATTTGGATGCGACCCTTTGCTTCAAAACAGGGAAGAGGGATGGGCAGTGCACCTTTAGCTTATAATGGTACTGTCAATATGCAGCCACCATCACCAACCCCACCACATCAGCACTATTGAACTGTGTTAGAAGTTATAACCTTTTTCATCCTTTATTGAGAGTCTAGGCAAATGGTTAGACGAGGAGGCAGAAGTGCCTGTGTATCTTGAGACGCATAAACAAAAGCAAACAAATTAACGTACCAAAGAACTGCCGTCGTCTCGGCGCAATGTCGAGGAGTCTTGACGGCGGCAAGCCCTTGATTTGCATGATGCACGCCAGCTGTTCGTTTTCATTCTCGCCGGGGAAGAGCGGGTAGCCGGTGTAGAGCTCGGGCAAAATGCAGCCCAGCGACCACATGTCAATAGCACACGTGTACGGCAGGCCCAGGATGACCTCCGGCGAGCGGTAGAACCGACTCTGAATGTAAGTGTACACTGCAGCAATGTAACACGTGCACACACGCAAACACAAACCCATTAGAAGCAGAACTTTAATAGCATTCATTGGTGTCTCGACTCGATGGGCCTACATATTAACAGTACCCGTATCACTATGAGCAGCAGCACTGCAACTAAATCACGCACACAGAGATATTCTTTCCAACTAGATCACCCACACACAGATATGTTTTTTCAGAACACCTTTTCATGACGGATCGGTAGCAATCACAAATATTATTAATGATGTTGTTCCCATTGATTCTGAGCTTCTTGCTAGGTACAACACATTGCATCCTCGCAATCTCCCCGTTTCTGACCCGGCGACATGCTGTGATATTGCACCTGTTCTTTGCACTGCTCTTTTCCCTGCGACTGCGACTGCTTGTTCTGATTTATGACCTTCCGGAGGTCGACTTTTTTTCATGCCGCATGCATTGCAGTTCATTTTCCAGACTTTCTCCATGCTTCCAGACTAGGCTGCGAACCCTGTGTTGCAGAACACACGCAAACAGGACCTACCTCTCTGATGCTCGTAGCAGCTGGATCCAAAGTCAATCACCTTCACAGCCATGTGCCCGCTTGGACGCAGAAGAATATTCTCCTGCCAAGGTACCAGATAGAACAGTGGGCACATCAAGATACAGTACCGTGAGATAGGTCACACGATGCAGCTAGTATTCGAATCTCTCCACAAGAAACCCCTGCCTACATCCACACTCAGACTGTTTTCCATAGCACCGTGTTTCACGGGACACTACTAGTAAGCCACATTGTTAAATTTAACATGTAGCTTTAAATTTTAGTCACAATTTCTGATCAAAATGAACCACCAGTGCTTGGGTAATACGGTAACCGTACTAATGTATAATGTTGATCCAAAGTGGTACTCAGAGCATAGGAGCTCTACAATACACTTACCGGTTTCAAGTCACAGTGGATGATGTTCTCACGGCGCAGTAGCTTCAGGCACTGCAGCAGCGAGTACGTGATCCTGTTAGCACAAGAAACAAACAAACAAGCACACACACATACACAAACACACAGGCATAAGGTATTGATTGGTAGCAAAAATCAAGCTGCCTCGTTGGCTTGATCGAGCCACCAACAAAACAGTAAGAGGCAAAAAGGAACTTTGAAGGCTATCACAAACTGGAGCCAAGCAAAAATACGTTGAATTCACATAGATGGGCGGGGACATCGTATAGATTCACTTACTTTCTAATCACGCTCAGACTGAATCCTCGGTAGTTGTTCGCCTTCAGAACCTCGTAAAGATTCATTCTGTGATGATCAAAATGCAGGAAACAAAACAAAACAAAAACATACACAGCCATTAATTAGCCAAAAGCTGTACCTGGCATTAACTCTCTCACCTGGAAAGATCTATCACAGATGTGCATGAACACAAATGACACAAATGAAGTTTCTAGAGTTTGTCGAAATTCTGAGTTTCTTGGTGCATGCAATCATCACACAGGCTAAAGCCTCCTTTATGCTTCTTGTGTTCTATAGTGCTCCACACTATTGTGTTGAGCCCTCTCTGCTGGCAAAAGGGAACCTCTGTCAGTTGTCCATGATGCGAGTAAAGTAGAGATTCACATTGTGAACAAGCACTCCAGCTAAGGCCTTCACATTGGCGTGAGGAGTTTGCCACCCACAGAAAAGCAAATGAGCCCATAAACTCCACAATGAGCTAACCGAAGGTATTTGTAGGATGCAACACAAAAAGCAAGAAAGAAGAATAGGCAACTTTACTTGTCAACTTACCCCATCAGCTCGAAAACAATACAAAGATGGTTTCGGAAATGGAAGGAGTCCTCCATGCGAATGATATTGTACGCGCCCTCCTTGTCCTGCACAGATAAACGCCCACAGTATAACAAGTGAGTTCTGGTACAGCAGGCCATTTTGGGAAGCAAATCCAAGAAGCTAGCCCTGAACTAATACAGTGTCAAATACATGACAACCATACAATGGTCCTATTCCATACCTGTACCTTTCTGTTCAGGTTGCCCAGAATCTTCAGCTCCACCTGGGCCTGTTGATGAAATCTGCACAACACAGGTCATTCACACAGTACACGAACAATTCGAAAACCAGAGGTGCATACAGCGCAGAGCATCACTGTGTAAAAGAGCACCCGTCTCACCAAAACACACGACGGCTTCTACACAATCGCTGCTGTTAGGCACAGACACACAGGCCCTAACACAAACTAATTATTAGCAATCACTCTCACTCGTGCAGTTCCCCATCGTCACTGTGTGGATAGTCCAGGTTGCGAAATATGTGCATGTGCAGTCAGAATCAACTGTGGGCTACACCCCCCCCCCCCCCCTCCCCTTCCCCCACCGCCATAGATGTCTGCAGTACACAGGAGTTGATATACGTACCGGCGCTTGTTGCGGATGATCTTGATTGCAACGTAGTGGTTTGTGCGATGATCAAGCGCCTTCATGTAACAGAGCAGATAACAAAGAGCAAAGGGGATTGACGTGAGGAACTTGCTTCCCTGTAGCTATCTCAAACGAACCAGTCAGCTAGCCATCCCAACATAACATTACTAAAGCTAGAGTCACTGTATGTCCACGTTCCTACAATACACCTGGTCTGAAACCTGGTCAGGCTACTACAGAGGAGTTGAATGTCGCACCGTGTGCAGCATTGCTCAGCGGAAACACACACACACACACACACACATGCGCACGCGCGCACACACGCACACACACACACACACACACACACACACACACATGCACACACACACGCACACGCACATGCACACACACGCACATGCACACACACACACGCACACGCACACACACACACACACACACACACACACACACACACACGCACGCACGCACGCACGCACACACACACACACACACACACACACACACACACACGCACACACACACACACACCGAGTGCAAGTAGGTACATGTATAATGACAAGCTGACGTTGTCCGACTTCCACTTCCATACCGCACTTCACCCACCGCAGCTCACCTTGACGACATGGCCGAAGGATCCCTTGCCCAGGACTTCCTTGATCTCAAAACGGTAAGCAATGTGATCCTTGATCACACTTATGTAGCTGCCGTTCTCTTCGTCGTAACCTACAGAAAGTGACAAGGCAACAGAAGCAATACAACTGGTGTCTAGAGTGTACTGTATGTAGTGCTGCACTTGCTGTCGTAGCACTACTCGGCCATTGCCCAGACACAGCAGCTGCCACACTTCAACAGGACCATGAATATAGAATCCTGGACGGCTGAACCTGACATTGTATGCCACATACATGTCATCGCCCTCATTATATTGGCCAGAACTGCCCGTTTGACTTGTAATGTAAAATAAACAACAACAACAACAGCAGCAGCAGCAACAAAGGCATGCGTGTTTCTCGAAATAGAAATGACTGAATAACCTCTCGACTTACCGTGATTTTGCGTTGCTCCACGAGCAGCGGGTATCTTCTTGGCTTCTAGACCCAGGTAGTGCACATCGCTGTACTCCAGGATTTCCTCCTGCTCGTAATCCGTCAGCCGCGGACTGAAAGTCTGCAGTGCAACTGTGACAGCGACAGGGAACGACGGGAAGGCACAGACACATGCATGAGCAGTGAATCCTAGTACTGTAGTCAACAAGCCAAGCTGATCTAATTTATTCAATTTTCTTAGAATATCATCTGCATGCGGCCTTCACTGACTTTGCTCAACGGTTACTATTCATCACTAAGATGCATGCGGCCAGGTCAAGGTCAAGCCCCCGGGGAGAAATATCCCCAAACACTGGGCAGGTGTGATGCATTATTCGGCATTATGTACAACCCACTCCAAAAAGTGTGCCTAGTCACCCAGTTGATCTCTGCGTTCAGTGAATTGGTTGTGGGCCATACACTATGTATAGTCCAGGGTCAAAGCACACTCGTTCCCTGATCTCGGCAATGCACTGAGATCATGACGTACCGACGGACGACATAGGGAACATGGGTATCTGGGGAGCTTGGTGGCGACTTCTGGATGAGGAAACGGCATGTCGAGGCTCCTCTCTACACACACACATTACGAACAAACAAGAAGCCACATGCAACAGTCAACACACACTGGATTTCAGAAACTTCAGAAACCCAATGTGCTGACCAGAGACTAGTCTACTATTCAACAAAAGAGAGAGAGAGAGAGAGAGAGAGAGAGAGAGAGAGAGAGAGAGAGAGAGAGATGGATTGATGGATAGACAGACAGACAGACAGACGGACAGACACAAAGGGCAGGCAGTTAACTGCAATACAGACTTGCTAGATACTTTTCTACATTGCACGTACTGGTAAGAGTTAGGACGTGGGCCAGGAACAGAAGATCGGTTTCGCGGTCTCATCGTTATCGCCTGGTCAAACTGATCAGCTAAGCGATTTGCTGTCGCGGCTGTTGATGGGTCATCTGCAGGGGAGCGAGCAAGAAAAACAAACTGGAGGTTTCAGAACTATGTCAATGCATTGTAATCGTTTTCCAATCAACTGTTCGCAAACTGAAATTACAGACATTGGCCTAACATTTTCTTGGACAGCAACAGGCTAGTCATCAATGAATATATCCTAAGATAGTTTTGCTTGAAAGAGAGCGTTCATACCTTGCTTCCGCGAGGATTCTGGCTTCGTAGCTGCCTCTAGGATTCTTCTCATCTGAGAGTCGGAAACTGACGACGTGCCTGAGCCGGGTGCGCGGGAAATGTGATCGGACGAGTGGCCAGATGAGGTCAATCCCTGCGAGTGCGAGTGACTACTGGAACCGGAGCTGGTCTTGTAGTGGGACGATGATGAAGACACGTAGCCACTGCTGGCGGAGTGTGACGAGCTGGCATTGTGCGAGGATATGTGACCTGTGCTGCCATTGGGTAGATGCGAGGACGAGCTCTGTCCTGAAGCGGGCATTGTCGACGACTTTCCCGGTGGAGGCTCTTTCGTCAGCACGGGCAAGAGATCACGCAGTCCAGAGGAGCTCTGAATAGATATACAAAACACAGACACACACACACAATACAAAATAAACACTCGAGCTCAGCAGAGATGGGCATAGCCTCAAGAGAACATTGGTATACAAGACTATCAAACATACAGTACAGCAAGCGAGTAGCAATTTGAACACCTCTAAAACCGTCCTCACCTGAGAATCGTGCGAGTGCGACAGGGAGGTCAAGGAGAGAGTGGATCCACCAACAACGTCAGCGGACGTGGCAGCAGCCACCGAGGCAGTTGTTGAAGTGCTTTCCCTACCCTCCGTTGGCAATTGAGAGAGGCTCTGAAAAACAGCAGCAGTGTCACATCCAGGCCACATTTAGCTCGATTCTTATGCCAATAATTTCCAGTCAACATATCGCCTAAGCACGATTTGTAGTATATAGGGTTGATTCTGGACAAGATAAGAGTTAGGGATGGAAACGGCGTAAGCAGAAAAGAAACAACCTGGACACACAAGAAACTGCCAATGCCTACAATACATGTATGAGTGGTCAATGGCCAATCATGTTAGCTCACCAGTGTTCTCTGGTTGCTTGCTGTCCCATAACTGCAGCACAAGAACAAACAGAAACTACACTTAGACATGCAAATATTACACTTACAAAATTATATCTTTCTTTCAGCGCATTTAGTCGGCATATCGGCATATCCCTTCCCAGGCAACAGGTTATCAGGCATAGTGGTGGCCTGCGGATGCGAAGGCTAGTTTGTGTGTTTCTGAACATTCAAACGATGCCGACGCGGACCCCGCGAATATTATTATTATTATATCCCTTCCCACATACACTCGACATTGCTCATTAGATGGGGAACGGCGTCAGACTTACAACCACGGGCAGCACGCAGTTTTGCATCGCACAGCCAGACATCTTCACCGCACATGGTTGAATAAATATCCTAACGGCCAACACGTCATAATGAACACCTGACAATGAACATGCCATGCTGTTGTTCTATTGCCGACGGTCACGCACAGGCACGGCAGTCACGTGCAATTTCAACTGGAATAAGATTAGATGCTGGGCAAGACTATTCTACCCCCCCCCCCGAAACTTACGCGTCTGCGGGACTATTCTCTGAGCGTTGGTTTTCGGGATTCAGTAGTGTCTGTAGTCATCACACACGCACAAACAAAGAGGACAACGCAATTATTATACTGCACGAAGTCTTGGCGAAGTGGTGGCCTGCCGATGCGAATGTATTTGCTTGATCAAGTTGATGTGTTCCCAAACACGTCAGGTGATGCGCCCGCGAATCCGGCTAACTACACGAGAAGTCTTATCAGGATTGCATCATAATTTACTAGAGAATTCGAATAGATTTGAACATGAATTTCAAGTAGTAACACGCAGTGTCTACTTTACAGCCTGTACAGAGCAACATTTCTGTGACTTAGCTACACAACTATTACCATGATTACCCATGGAAAACTACATTCAGTACATCAAAAGTCACAAGACACAACTGGTGCTACAACCCACAAACGTGACAAAACCAGCACACCACAACCACCACCCAGGAAGTGAGAAATCAAGTTTCAACATGGTCTGTCTTGTCCAACTCTATTCTCGCGCAGCACACATTCGCAAGGCCACCGATGAAAATAGCCTGTGCAGTTCGACCTCCACGTCGTGTTAGACGACGCATTGGAATTTCATGAAGTACCCTGTGCGCCCTGCCTTGCATCTCACTTCCTTTCACGATCTTGTGAACTCGGCTCGACCTGCAACGCAACCCAAACACCATCCCTACTCCCTGGCTCTCCCTTACCCACCAGATCACCACAACAATGTCAACGAGGGAGACGACGACAACGCACTGCGGTGTAGCGTGGACAAAGATAGCGAAAAGCTCGATGAAGCATGGGGTGCTGAACTAGCACCGGACCCCCACGAACAACACATCTCTTCGGCTTACTGTGGGTGTAAGTCTTACTGTTAGTGTTAGTGTTAGTTCGACTATCGTGCAAACATAAACAGGGTGCACTTCGAAGTTCGTACAAGCACACATGCCTTGGAACACTCGAAACGGTTACGCACGAGACCTCTACTTATTATCATAAGAACAACAGGCCAGTCGCTCCCGAGGCAAGACGTTGAATCTCACACACACACACACACAGACACACACACAGTCGGTGGTACTGGACCTTGGTGTCGTCGTCATCGTTCGCATGCTTGCTGTCTCGTCAAGCAACTCAGAGATGTAACATCGTTTGCGAAAGGCAAATAACAGAAATACATGCGACATCGAACACCACGAAGAATCACACTGAGAGCACATCATGACGTCTCTACAAGACTTCAGAATGTCAGGAATGGTTGTATATCCCTCCGAGGAGTACAGGAGTACCGAGCGGAACAAGAAACATGCAAAAAAAGAGAGAAAGCACAACCTGTCCATCTGACCTTGTGGGGAATTTCGCACGAGTTCTTCCAGAACGAGAGACTAGCGCAGAATCTCCGCCAGCAACCGCTATTCCTGCTCTGCTTCTTGTTTCTACGCGCCGCAGCGGTGAGAGATGGTGGACTCGTAGAGTCCGAGATAGGTAGCGGCGGTGCTCCTGTTGTTGGGACGGCTCTCGTTCTGACAGGAGGAACAGTGAGGGACAGGTCTCCTTGTTGCATGAGAGCGGCGGCTTCTTCATATGCACGCACGTCGTATCGCCTTCCCGGGTCGGATTGCTCGGATTGGCGACGCTGTTTCGTCACGCTAGCGCCGCTACGGACGTTCTCCGTACTGTCAGCCGTGCAAGCGGGCACGTAGCGTAAGTATCCACCACGCGACGGGGTCCACGGCTGGTCCGAACTGCCAAACGACATGACGTTGACACGCAAAGCCAGCTACTGCATGCAGCGACTACCGTCGTACCGACGAAGCCTAGCACGCTGCTTTCACGACCGTCAGAATGCCGGCCTGACACACTGCAATAAATCAACCGCTCGCACAGGACGTATTTTATGTCGACGTAGCGTGCTGTAGCCGGTCGCTAACACAGTACCAGTTCGCGACGGGTCCTGTCGGCTATCGAAGGAAAATTGCTCCGGGCTAAGAGAAGAAGCGGACACGAGTAGATGGAATATTCGCTTCTTTCAAAGTTTCAAAACCCTGCAGCACAACGCACAACTAGCAACAGTGTAGGGTCTATGGGGGTGCTACGCGCTTTGGCCAACAGCCGCAGAATAGAAGACTCAACCCAACACTCAGGCGAGGTCGACGTAACGCTCCAGAGCTCGCCAACGTGAAACTGCTTCCGCCCTCGCCATCACCTTCTGTCAGTCGCTATCTCTCATGCTCCCTGACATAATGCAATGTAGAAAGAACGGTAGCAGAGAGTTTAGTAGTACCTGTAGCAGGTACTCGTGCGTGCCCCAAACGACTACGACTAACAAGAAAAGCATGCAGACCAAGCATTAGTCAGTGTCCGACTACGTGTAAAAACCACCCTGTGCGCTAACTAACGACCCTCCATTGCCACCGACAGTAAAGGTATTACTGGGCCACACGCTACAGCAAACAAAGTAACAGTAGTTCCCAAAAGGCGAACTCGATTCGCACCTCTATGTCGTTAGCACCATGGCACGAACTAATCCTCTCTTCTTTCCTAGCGCACATGAACAAGCCGGTAGGACAACAAGTACCGCCGCTACTACACTCTACAGCGGATGGAGGACCTGGTAGTTGCAAGGACGTTTGCAGACAAAGAGGTCCTGAACCAGTATGCTTGTCGTTCATGCACCAGTCCAGTGTTCATGAACTGGTTTACGTTAGCACGACTACCCAAGCTTCACGACTATGCATGGTGTTATTGTGAGAGGTTGAGCAGCCACCAACGGTACATTACACTACAACAACTGCGACAGAACAGAGATGATTGAAAGCCAACACACGTTACGTTGCTCGGCGTACAGTTCAATACTTGCCTGACAGGAAAGATCGCCAGGGCATTGCGTCTGACACTCTCGCTCCTGCCGCGACATTAGACGTCGAACCTGGAACGTCTCTCCCACTCAGCATGCGGTACTCGCGCACACAGCAAGGCTACAGTATCGATGGATTGGAAGAGAAACTCGAATATTTCCTTTGCGATGGTGGCGCCGTCACTTGTTCAGAGTATCCGGCTGGGAGTTTGACAGCTTCTTCCCATATCGACCGCTGCCCAAATTAATCATTCACAACTCACTCTCGAGCTTTAGAAAAGGGCAGAAGTAGGCCGTGAGCCGCAATAGTCTGACGGCGGACAGTGTGCAAAAGCAACAGAGAGACGAGCCTCCGTTCCGTTGTTGAAAAGTCCTTACTAGACGGGGCCAGATCATGCAGCAGTGCCGTTCAGCAGTACAACAAGCGGGGACCGCCGCATGTCTATCGTGCCAATGCGCAGTGGCACACTCACTCAGTCAGTGCTGTCCTGGCTGCATCATCATGGCAGCATGCATCACACACTCCACACATCGTTTTGTTCCACTAATGTAGATCTACCGTAGTACCGATGACTGATGTAGCACTACTACTACTAGTACTACTGACTGTAGATCTATAGAATACTGCGCTGTCGAACCAGTGGCAGTGACGCTACTCGTTAGGGTTCCCTCGTGGTATTCGGTACTCGGTAGAACTGGCACTCACCGGCCAGAAGTCAGGACGAATTGCCTACTTTAGAGTTGAAACACATCTTCACAAATCAACCGGTGAGACCTCTCAACTCGCGCAATAAAAGAGAGAGAGAGAGCGATGCAACAACGACTTGGCCACTGGATGATCTGGATCATGGATCACACTGCAACTCACGCCACGATCAGCCAGGCTAGGCAGCAACATAAGAATGCAGTCAATGGAACTCATGCACACTGGGGGACGCACGTAGAACTCATTCACGTTCCCAGTGATCTGGTGATCACTTGAAGCTTGTACAAAAATGACTCCCACGGATACGATGCGCGCTCGTGTCTCAGGCCAGGTCACACCGCTTGCTACACAACGACACGTACTTGTTCCAGGCAGTAGGGAAGCTGCGGAGGAGATCTACTCACAGGCAAATGTCAGCAGGGGCACTAAAAAGTCCAAAGGCGCTCCGCAGAGCATTCCACAGAGCTACATGCATCCATAACTAACTTGGCATAAGTCTTCCGCGAGGTCAGCGAAAGGGCTCAGTGTTTCAGGGAGGCACAGGCCATGCACTTGCCACCGCTAGATAACGATTCACACGTGATTGCCTTTTGCGTCTTCATTCCAGGATGCTAGCAACTCAGCCTTTATGGCATTCGGATATCGACGTCCTACATGAACTAATGCGATGGTTCTACACATCACACAATCAAGTGAATAATAACGACACGGACACTAGTATTCGGATGCAAAATACCAGAGGAAATAGCTCAGTGAGAGATCAAATACCTCGAGCAATCCTAACTACGCGGGTCTGGGGCACAACTCCTCACCTGGTCTCGCGAGGTCCTGCGTCGAAAACGGTTTAGAAAGGAGTTTTTGATGCTACCTGTCGATGTCAGAGATTCCTTGCTTGGTCTGCAAAGAAACGAACAACATCGAAAGAACGCACACGCACCGAACAAGTTCCATTATTATTTCCGACATTATGACCATCTTCACTATTATTAAAAAAATATCACTTGTACTCTCAAGGAATTTATTTTATCAAACAAGCAGTCTTCATTTGTTATGATGAGGTCTCACTGGCAGCTCGCCTACGTTTCAAGCAACACCATCATTACACTTTCTACAGCGTCAGGGGACGTCCTCGGCCACCGAAAATACAAATCTGGTACTATTTCCAGCTCGAGCGACATGCTGGAGGCGTCTAGCGCACACCACTTCTCCCCATTCTCTTGCCCCCAGCGAGGTTAGCGAGCATGCCGAAGCCTCTCCTCATCACAGCTATCTCCGAGGGCACCGCTATGTGCGTACATCCAACTCGCTGACACCATGCCACAGCACATCGAAAGGGATAAATCCTTGCAGAGGTATGAGAAAGACGTGCACTGATTGATGAAGAGCAAGCATACAAAAATTAATCACGACTTGCAACCACCAGCTGATCTATTGCTGCCTGGTGAGGGCTTACGACACTAGCGCACTCATTCGCAGGTGGAGGAACAACCGCTAAACATCGCACACTGCACGGAGGTGAAAGTAGAAAGTACAGATGGGTGAATGCGTCGTCGTCCTCTTTCGGCGGAAGACAACATCACTGGACAAATCCATTACTGCAGCAGCCGTCACACGGGTCAGTCAGCAATGACATGGCATTGATGGTGACAGAAACATACTTGTCGGCTGTCCTCGGCAATGCCAACGTACAAGAAACACTACGCATTGAGTTGAGGACCAAACTATGGACGACAGGAGAGCAAGACGATAAGGTTCGCGACATCGCCTTGGTGTCGCGAATACTGACATACATTATACACCCAGAATCTCACACCCACACGCGATCAGCCACAAGCAACGTAGAAATGCACCACACTCACCTTCTATCCGTGCGCTTCATTATTCCTTCGACTCGAGCGTCCGAATTTTCCACAGCGGCTATGTGGTACAACAGCGGCCTTCCTCTTCGTTTGCTGCCGGCAGAGCAGCAGCAGAAACGCAGTGCAAAACAGCCAGCGGATGTTGCGATATCGTCACTATCAGGAATATCGTCGGATCCGATGCTTATCGGAGAGATCTTTCCCAAAGTCGAGGCAGTGTGAACAGATTTCCCAATACTACTAGCACCGCTACAATCGTCCGCCAATAGAACTCCGCTGCACGCTAGGTCGCCTTCCTTCCGCACCGAATCGCCGCAGCCGCGGTGGAAAGTGCTCAGCGGGCACGATGTCGTGCTGGCCCCAAGTGTCTTGTCAGCACTCTGCTGCATGCATCCAGCCACGCAGAGTCGAACCAAAGAAGAGAAAGAACGAAAAAATTCGCTTGCAACTGAACCCAACTCGAGCTAGCACAAGATCAGATGCCTTCGCTTGTTCACGGAGTGTAGTGCAACAAGTAGCGTTGTGCGCCAGACCAGGTAACTCTCGCTAGCGGCACAGATCAGAGCCGACAAGTCAACAACGAGGACGAGCACTGCCGTTTTCGAATACTGGCACTGCACTGTCTGTATGTTGTTAGTAGCAAATGTTCCAACGACACGCTTGACACATTCAACTACCGACCGTCGCGTCCGCCACTACTGCACTCGTCAGGACACTCTGGCCGGGCTAGCTGCTGATACTAGTACATTGTAATTTGTATATCGATAACCCACGAAAACCTGCGACCAGACGCGTCACGTCTACCTTTACACGTGAATGTATGATGTAGATCTACAGACTAGACAGGCAGTCAATCAGTGCAGTGTAGATATTATGCACGTACCTGGGCACCCGGGCCACAGCCATACGGGGATTACGGGCCATAGGCATAGGCATAGTCCATACCCGGGCCGTACCCTGCTAGGCTGCACATGCATGCATGGCCTTGCGAGGGCCGAGTAGGGCCTAGGCCAGGGATGCTTTGCGTGTAGCAGTGTTTTTTTTGACGTAACGAATTCGTACGTATCTAGTAATATTGACTGAGTACGAGGTCAGTATACGAAATAAAAGCCGAGTAAAAGACCGAGGCGAAGCCGAGGTCTTTTACGAGGTCTTTTATTTCCTATACCATGTATACTGACCAAGTACGAAGTCAATATTAGATTTATCACGACTAACCAAAGCAAGTGTTCAATCGCTAAAAAGGAGTCAAAAATAAGCGGTCAATAGCCCTAAGGAGTGAAATATGCAGGAATATTTGACTGCTTAGGTATGGCAAAAATCTATGGGAGTCAATACTTAGGGAGTGATAAAACTAATTACATGTATAGACGCCTCTTTTATTGGCAAAAATAATTTTTACACACACACACACAATAAAACATACACTGCACTGAAGTCGTGAAGAAGAACTGCACCTGTATCAGTACTCGTAGTAGATGTACAAAGCTGAACTGCCACTGTTTAGCATGGTTTAGACTTTACTTTAGACTTTAGTCTTTACTCTTTAGTGTTATGTTACATCATTGTCATCAAGGTTTATGTAGTCTTGCTTACATGTACAGTCAAACCTCGTTAGGACGAACACTGATACGGCGAACTTTTCTTTAGTACGAACTAGGGCCAATCTTATAAGTTATAGCCTAGGCCTATGGTTGGCCAGGCATCATATCAAGTCGCGACGAACTCTGTACGGTGAACTACTTTTTATGTTCATTGCTTTCAGGTTCAGCCTCATTTCCTCTGTGCTGCGCTGATGAGTT